CCGGGGCTCCAGCCCGCCCCTGGGGCGGCCGTCCCGGGCCAGCTCCAGCCCTGCCTGGCTCTGCTGCCCGAGGTCTCGGGGGATGACCGTCGCGGCTTGGGCCACAGGTGGCTCCCGCAGGCCGGGTGTGTGGGTGGACACCTGGCGGTCTCGGCGCCCGGGGCCCGCGCTGGGCGTCTGGGGGCGGAGCGGGGCACTGTGGGCACCTCTGCTCCTCTCCTGGCCTCCTGCAGACAGGCAGCAAGGGCGCGGGCCTCAGGCAGGGGCGCGGACCGGCCCCCTGCGGAGGTGCAGACCCCTCGCGGAGGCCTGCAGAAGCCACTGGCAGCAGGGAAGACTGGGCAGGTGGGAGCGTGGAGCGCGGGCAGCTGCCAGGCCCGAAGCCCCTCAGGGAGCTCAGTTGCTGCCCCTCTGGCCACAGGGCTGCGGGGCGGAGGTCCTTCTGGGGGCACCAGCACGTGACCCCAGCCCCCCCACAGCCGGTGGGAGGCTGGGGGGTTCGCCGCCTCCTTGCCCAGGCCCCCGTGTCAGGACCCACCCGTGTGCCCGCCCCCAGGCGCCGCCACGCAGGCAGAGCCCAGGCGACAGGGGTACCTAGTTCCTGGGCAGGGGCCGGGTCCCTCGAGGGCGCCTTGCTCGGGAGCCTGGGGCGGGCGGGCGGGGGCCCCAGCAGCTCCCTGGCCCAGGCTCGTCCCGTCCTCCAGGCGTAGACGCCGGCCACCTCAGGGCCTGAGACAGACACGCAGCCGCTGCGGAACAGGGCGGGGAGGCGGGCGCCCGCAGCCCCCAGGTCTGGCAGAGCCGGCTGGCCCCAGGAAGGAGGGCCGCGCGGCCGCCCGCTGTCTGCGGTGCTCAGAGGACAGGCCAGCCGGGCCCACGTGGGCTCCGCGTGGCGGGCGGGGGGCAGTGCACGCTAGGAAGTCTGGCTTTTAGCGGTGACTCAGCAGCAAGGGGCGGGTCCGCGAAGGCCCCAGCGCAGGGGTCAGCAGTGGAGCCCAAGGCCCCTGGCCAAGCACGGAGCACCCCGCGCCGGCGCCATCGAGGGCACCGCGGTCCGGGTCACCCCGCCAGGCGCCCGCAGCAGCTCCGCGTCACGCCAAACCTGCAGGACGCCCTATGGCCTCCGGGCCCTCAGGCGCACAGGCACGCGCGGCACCCAGACGCGCGCCCACGCCCACGCAGGGGCTGCCCAGGGGCCGACTCCGCAAGGCCAGGGCCACCCCCACCCGCGCCCGGCCCGGGCAGGCCCCGGGGCCGGTCCTGGAGCTGGGCCGCCAGCGCTGGGGACAGACGACCAGACGGGCTCTCCAGACACCCTGCCCCTGGACAGGACGCGGGGACAGCCCTGACGGGGAAGCCAGCCACAGCCCGGACGCCAGGCCCGCGCAGCACCCTCCAGAGGCCGCGTCCCCACCCCGGAACCGAGGCCCCGCCCCAGGCACCAGACCACGCCCACCACAGCCACGCCCACCAGGGCACGCCCGAGCCACGCCCTTAAGCCACGCCTCTCCAGG